GGGGGGGGGTCACGTGGGGCAGGAAGTGAGGTAAACAGCTGAGTCCCTTCAGTCTCAGAGTACACAGACACCCAGTAATAAAAACTATAATGAATAGTATAGAGAGAGTACTCAGTACTTCCCTATGTGTACAGGTGTGTATTTATACTGGCTGTTTTTCACAGAGCCTCATGGAGGAAGAGCAGCTGAGATGAAGGTTTACCTGCTCTCAAAAAAACATCCTCACCGACCGCCATCAGCCCGTGGGCCACACTTTGGACCACTACACAAATGATCCTCCTTCAAACTGCCTGATTTCAGACGGGATAACTGTTCTTGAACGCACCAATGAGCCGGGTTTTTGGTGTGTTCAAGGACAACCCTGTAACATGAATTCTGAACGATCCTGCCACCTGTGTGTGTGTCTCACCTGGAAGACGTCGTTGGCACACTTGCGGCACAGGTTGTGTTGGCACGGCAGGATGACCACCGGCTTGGTGAACATCTCCAAGCAGATGGGACAGATGAGCTGCTTCTCCAGACTCTCCATGACGCTGAGGACGCCGGGGAGACGCCGGCGAGGACAGAGAGAGGTGTCCCAGAGGAGACAGGAGCTGAGCAGGAGCAGCTGAGGAGTGTGTGAGTGTGTGGGGCCTGCAGCAGCTCTCAGACTGTTTTTAGACGGCAGACGTCAGCTGTTACCGTGCAGACATGCCCTTATATGTTAAAGGTCAGGGGGGACACATGAGAGGGGGAGGGAGACAAATGAGGGGAGATGATAAAGCACAACAGGCCTGGTTAAAGGGACAGTCCACCACAGTCTGTAGAGCAGCCAAAGAGGCCACAGCTCCCCCTGCTGGCAGGTTTTTAATGATCAGCTGTGCAGACAGAGCGATCGGAGGTCTTCAGACGAGTCTGAGTGACGAGCAGGAGGTTTTGTTTAGCGTGCAACACGAAATATGAAGGCTGAAACCAACAAAGAAGAAATATGGAGGCTGACAGAGACGTACCGAGTTATACCTCATTAGTCATTCACCTGCACTATAAACCTGCAGTTCCTCTGACGTCCAGACTCAGTGGTGGCAGCACTGAGTCTGTCCCCATAGACTCCTGTGTTAAAATCAACAGCTTGAAGCTAACACTGCTGTGGTCTGTAGATACTTTACCCTCCATAACACCAGTATAACTTACCTGCATTATTAGGGGCGTGGCCTGTGTGACTGACAGGTGGATGGTGACACAAATAGCTGTAGCTGCTAGCTTCACCTGAACCGGGCCTGTGGGCCGGGTTTGTGCTGTTGGAGCCTTTTGCTTTTTAATGACATCACCAACAATATGGCTGCTGTGAGGTCACTGCACTAACAGAGCGTCCAAGAAGGCGGAGCAAGTGTTTGATGAGGGAAACTCGAAGAATCTGATTGAATGTTAATGATTAGCAGGGGTTTGAGTCTGTGTGATGCTAATATGGTGTCATGTCGGTGGTCCAAACAGTTTAAACCGTAAAAAAAAAAACTCATTCACAATCGGGACAAAAAGAGAGGGGCGGAGCTTCCAGGTGACTTGACCACAGGTGTGTCATCAGGTTTATTTGAGTTCACAGATGACAACAAATTAAAAGAAACAAACTTCAAACTGAAACATTATTTACATCATCATGTGACATCCGAAGCTCCACCTCTTCTTCCCAAAAACAACCAATCACAGCATTGCTTCAGCTACAATAATAACTGAACAGCAGGTGATGAAGATGGTCTCCTCACAGGACACTAAAACACAGAGACAGTTTGCACACAGGAGGACTTTGGTGGTTTCCTGTCCTTGGAGGAAGATAGAAACAGAAACTCAGAGTAAGCTTTAAACTGGTGGAGCTTTCCTGCTGCCGCGCTTCACGGTCGGGCTACAGCTTGCGGTCGTAGACGGAGTAATGCATTTCCCGTCTTCATGTGTAGGTGTCCCCGTACCTGCGGTGGCCATCGCCAATCAGCTGAGTTTTCTCGCTGGCATTCGTCGGCTGGTGGACTATCGGAGCCTCGATGTCTGCAGAAAAAACAGAAAGTCAACAAAAGTCAGCGAAGGTTCTCGGTCACGCAGGTTGTGGTGGTCTAAAGAGCTCGCACAGACTCGCACTTCCTTGTTCACGTTTCATCTGGTAAGCTTCTTCCGCTCTAAGAGCCATCAGTGGAGAGTGGTGGGTAGTTACAGTATTTTACAGCCGCTAGGACACATGTCACAATACTTAGGTCACTTTTGCAAAACTCTTCACACAATCCTCCTAACTGACCGTCAGCTTGGCAAAGCAGTTCATT